TTTTTTTTTATAGTGTTAATGTAAGTTAAATAATTGATCAAAAGGCTCTAATATTTCAATACATCTTCTAATGGATGCGCACTGTGTATCATTATTGGAATCGGTTTAGGTGTTTGTTTTGTGCTGTGTCACCATTATGGGTGGGTGAATTTTTTGTTTCTGATTTTGCTTGGATTTCACTTCTGATTTCAGGTATTTTTCTTTGTTGTTCCGTATCTAGCCCCAATTTTTTTGCAACAGTTTTGTGCTGTGTTACCGTTATAATAGGTGGAATTGTCGTTTGATTTCATGGTTTCGCTAATGATTTTTCTCTGTTGCTACATATCTAACCATCTCATTTTTCTTTCTAGTCAATTAAGTGTGGCATCTGGTTGTCATCAGTGTCTGTGTGGGTGTTATATTATTTTTACCACCTTAGAGATAGATTTCGTTGTTTAATTTGCTTTCTGTTGTCTCTGGTGTTCTCTTTTGTCACATATCTAACTTCTCATTTTCTTTCCAGGTATCAAATCTCAGTATCAACTTCGTGGTATCTTGGTGGCATTGTTCTGTTGTTGCTGGAGTCGTCATCATGATTGATGTCTGCCATTTCGTGTGCTGGAGGCATTTTACTTTTAGTGTAATCATTAAAAAATGTTTGTTGTACAATGTCATATAGTTGGTGTTGATTATGATAATTAGGTGTAGTGTTAGGTTTGTTAGGGTTATGTTATAGTGACTATGAGTAGTGTTATGTGGTTTTTAAGGTTAGAGTTTGGTTGCTGAGGTTAGAATTATGGTAACTATTAGAAGTATTAGATGGTTTTATAGTTAAGGTTAGATTATTTAAAGTTAAAATTGGGTATTTAGTAATAGGGTTATTTCGAATATATTTGTCGAACTATATATTGCATGCAACAATTTTAACATGATTTTTTTATATTATTTTTATGATGTAGTTATTATGAACCGCTTTAATTGATAATACTATTGCTAACTAAAGTTACGAAAATTAATTATTAATATGACACAATGGGATCATAAGTTTTTTGTCATAACCATAACTGGCCATATGCTGTAAAATTCATTGGGACGATTCTACTGCATCACTAGCGGTTATCATTGCGACAATTCCAATACTTTATTGAGAAAGCAAAAACTTTATTTTGAGTAATATGTTGGCTAACAAAAATATTTATTCTTCATTTAAAATAAAAATGATGATAATAATAATAACAGCAATGATGATAGATATAAGTTTAAAATAATTATAATAATAATGATGATTATAATTATTCACTTTTTTTAAAAAAATAAATAAAATAAATTATCTTTCAGGCCATTATAATCTGCACCAGTCAATAATATAATTATTTTTTATTTATCAATTCCAATAATATCAGAATTTAAATTTTATTAAATGAATTTATATATCTTTTAATACTGATTACATCATATATACGTGTTATACTATATAAATTTATTTAAAAATTACAGTACTGGCAGAAATATAATAATTAGTGAATTTTGCGAATTTTCCTTTTTCTTTTTCAAGAGTTGATGGCCCCCAAGTATTGGATTTTTTTTGAATACATTAGGATGAGGGTTTCCAGGACTATAAATACCAGGATGACTTGGAGTAACAGAGTTAATTTGAATATCTGACAATAGTGCACGGGTTTGAAAATCAGGATTTATCTAAAAAAAAAAAAAGCACGATTAAGAAAAATTTGATATTTTAAAATGTTTATATAAATTGAAATTATATACTGGGTCTTTAATAGCTTGATCACTTAGTTCAATAGATTGTACATTTGATTTCCAATCTTCATCATCATTTGGTTTGATAGTTTGTAAGTTTAATTCAATCTAATAATAAATATTTAGTTAGTTAATAATTATATAGTGCAAAAAAAAAAAATAAAATAAAATAAAATTGTATTACCGGATCTTCATTATTATGATTGTTTGGCTCGATAGCTTGTACATTTGAGTTGGTCTAAATAACAAGTGTTTAAATAATGTAACAAATTATATTAATTTTAATTAAATTAATAAAATTTACCTTAACGCTATTAATGCTAGAATTAATAATTGCAGATAAACAATCTTTTTTTTGTTGTTCGGAAGGATGTGAATAAATTCTAACGGAACTTTTGCTTTTATGACCAGTGATAGACATTAAAGTTGAGTTGGGTGTTTCAATTTGATATAAATGTGTAATTGAAGTAGTATAACCAGAATGGTTGACGATATTTCGACCTTCAATATTAATATTACAAGTTTGACAAATTTTTTTCAACATAGTATTAATCATAGTATTTCCAAGCTTTTATCTTTGTACCATATATCTCCTAAAATAAAAAAAAATTTATTATTGAATTCAAGTGATAACAGGATTTTTTTGATAATTACCAGTCGGATTTTTTGCTAATTGAAGATGCAAATTTGGCATAACACAATTAGTAGGTCGTTTGGAAAGATATAGTCGAATATCATGACGGGTCCAGGTTTTTCAATAGGATCAGGTGGAATTGGAATACTAGTCGCATTACCATTATCATCTAATCCACTCTGATCGTTTTTTTGAGACCATTTTGTAAAGATAATTCCACCATCAGGAAGAAATTTAATTTGTGAAACATTCATTT